CAATATATCCAGCTGCAATGGTATAGCACAAGTTACAAGCTATTTACTCAAGGAGTATCTGAGTCTGCAGTGGTCCCAAGGCAGCAAGTGGCTGGTCAGACTCAGGAGCAACAGCAACCTGCCCTGTACATTCTTGGGCTGTCAAAGCAATAACAGTAGGTTATGAGCTGCAACTTCACTCTAAGGTTAAAGGCTGGACCTTGCAAATCCCTGCCCTTGAAATAATGGAAAGCAGCACTGGAAAACCCAGCACCTGGAAGCAAGATATGTTCAACTGCAGGCAGAGCTGCAGCCCTTCTGTGCTGGTAGGAACTGGATGTCAGAGCACTGAGGGATCTCATGGGTCCTTCATCACAGAATCATGGAATGGTTTGGGTTGGGAGGGACCTCAAAGCTCAGCTCCTTCCACCCCCTACCATGGGCAGGGACACCTTCTACTATTCCAGATTGCTCCAAGCCCTGTCCAACCTGGCCATGAACAATTCCAGGGGTGGAGCAGCCACAGCTTCTCTGGGCAACCTGTGCCAGGGCCTCCCCACCCTCACAGCCAACAATTCCTTCCCAATATCCCATCTGACCCTGCCCTCTGGCAGTGGGAAGCCATTCCCCCTTGTCCTGTCCCTCCATCCCTTGTCCCCAGTCCCTCTCCAGCTCTCCTGCAGCCCCTGTAGGCCCTGGAAGGCGCTCTCAGGTCTCTCTGGAGCCTCCTCTTCTCCAGGTGAACACCCCCAGCTCTCCCAGCCTGGCTCCAGAGCAGAGGGGCTCCAGCCCTTGGAGCATTTTCACAGCTTCCTCTGGACTTCCTCCAACAGCTCCACATCCTTGTGATGTTGAACCCCAGCACTGGAGGCAGCTCTGCAGGTGGGGTCTCACCTGAGAGGGCAGAGGGGCAGAATCGCCTTTTAGTGGAACAACCAGGTTTGTACAATGGACCTCCAAGAAAGGACAAAGAAATGCCTGGGAATATTCAGTGCCCAGCCATTCTTGGGAGCCCTGACTTCAGCCAAGGCTTGCTGAAGTTGCTTGAATACTTGTAGGACTGTCCCTGGTGAGGTATTTGGTGGGACTGGGGAATAATCTCATCCTCAGAAAGAGGAATCGGATTTGGAACCAACCTTTGCAGGTTCTGGAGGTGCTGCTTAGTGCATTATCCAGCCCTCTGGGGAGCTTCCTTGGAGTTAGCATGGGTGATGGCAGCAACAACACCTGGGGGCACTGTGAAGTCCTGGGGGAATCTCCCTTCCCTGGGATCAGAATTCCCTGTGCAGACCTGGCTGTCACGTGCCTGCTGGACATCGTTCCTGCCTTGGTCCTGAGTGCTGAGGAGCAAAGCAGCTTGGTGAGGAGCCAGCAAGCTGCCTCAGCACCTGCAGTTCTACACACAGGAGGTTTTGTGTTTTCAGTACTTTGTTAGGGTCAGGAGCAGCCCTTGGCTCCACATCCTGCAGGAACAAAAGGTTCCCTTTGAACCTGCTGCACAGACAGACTGATCCTGCGCCCTCCATATGGTCCCTAAAGAGAGCAGGGCTTGCTGAGATCCTGCTCCCAGATCCATGTGGGCAAGTTTCCATAAGTTAATTTGCTTTGCTGCAACAGGCAGAAGCAGGGCCAGGTCTTCTCAGAAACCTCTGAGCTTCCAATCTGATAGTCCACACCCAGCATCTCTGGGGCTGTGCACACACACCCCTTTGTAGTGCTGGGGACAGCCAGAAATTTGGGAGATCCTCTGTGAGAAAAGCCAAGAAGGGCGGGGTACTCATTTTAAATTGATGTTGAGTTGAAAATTAGTTTTCTGCATAGTGGAAAGTAGAGTCATAAACTCCTTGTAGCATTAATCATAGATGTGTTTCAAGGGAAAGTTGTTATCTCTTGGTCTGTGCTGCGTTAGCAGCTGGAAATCCCAGCCCTGGCTGTGCTGTCAGGAGCTCTCCTGACACGGGGGAGAAGACAGCTCTTGTTCTGGAGAAATAATAACAGATAAAAGCAAATCTTAGGTGGGTATGGCCATTGGGGAACTGAGGTTCTGCTTGACAGAGTGAAGGCTGGCCCTCAGAAAGGGGTGAGAAAGCACCGAGGGAAGGCTGGTTGGGACTGGCTGGTGCTTCTGTCACATAATGGACAGTTGAGTGTAACAGCTGCTCTCCTCACTCCAGCTCCACAGGGATGATTGCCCACGCCCAGCACTGTGGATGTGAGTGGATGGGCCCATGGTGTGATGGTTGTGCTGGGGTGAAGAGTCCATCTTCCATTCCGTGTGTGCTCACAGACAGTGCTCCACTTCCACCAAAACAATCCCCCGGGCTGTCTGGGCAGGGTGATAATGGAAAAGGAATGCAGGGAGGGTAAGAAGAGAAAATAAGCATCCTGGGTAAAATCCTGCCTTGGTCCCCAGTGTGCAGCTCATGTTGGTTCCTCTGTCTCTCCTCCCGCCCTCCCTGGGAAGGGCAGGCGCTGCCCGTACTTGTCATGCCAGTCACACACATGCTGTTGCACAGGCTAACACCCTCCACAATAAATCTAAAAGATTAATTACCCCCCCCCCAAAAAAAAAAAATCCCGCAACCCCACTTGCAGCATTTGAAATGCTTCTCAGCCACGCTCGGTTATTCATGGGGAAAAGAAATCACCTCCTGAATCGAGCAATTGAGAATGCAAATATCCCAGCCTGGCTCAAAAGAGGAATCAAACCCTGTACTGTCAAGCTGATTAGCATCCCATTGCACGGGGTACTGCCCTGAGCCCAGAGAGAAAATTTGGGGACAGCTGTGCTTAATGCTCTGGGATGAAGTTTCTGAGTTTTGCCCGGAGAGAAATTATAGTCCTGGTACTCCCCATCTGATGACAGACCATAAGATGTGTTTTCTTGTTCTCTTCGGGGCGACTGCCCTTTCTCTGGTGAGATCTTTCAGCCTTTTGTTTCCTGTCACTGACCAGCTGTTTTTTGTGAGTTGAGTTTTTTTGTTGTTGTAAAATTGAAGCTTTCTGCAGGCAGTGGAACAAAGATTTGCTTTTTTCTCTTGTGAGCAGGGAGGGAAAGTACGTCGGAGCAGTTTCTCATGGGAGTGGGACTTCTGCTTGCAAGAAGGATTTTACACTTTGTTTTGCCTTTTTACCCCTTTCCCTGAAAGCAGTGTAGATGTGTCTTCCAGAAAGACTAGGAATTATATCCTGATCCCTTTCAGTCCATATCCCAGCAGTAGGGTGGGAAATGCAGCGTTTGGGAGTCGACTGAAAATATTCAGCAGGAAAGAAACAAAATGAATCCCAGTCTGCTCCTTGTTGTCATGTCCCAGTGAACCTAAATCCTCTGTAACATTCCTTGTTGCCTGTTGCAGATGTCAGAGGGGAAAATAAAACAAGAGCTTTCCCATTAAGTGCTGTTCATCTGCTATTTCCCATGTGCAGGAGCGTGAGCATGGCTGGAAATGGTGATGGCAGTAACAGGCAGGTTGTGCGTGGTCTTTTTTCCCCCCAAAAGCTGCTGTGCATCCTCATTTCCCAACTCTGTTTTTCAGACAGACTTCACTCTTTTTTTTTTTCTCCCCTTTTCCATCCCCTTAGTTTCCTGAATTTGCAGCAATGAGCTGTTTTGATACATGCTGGGAGGGGTGGGCCTGTTGTGAGAACAGATCCCTGGATGTTTCATGTGAGATGTGTCCCAGGCCCTGGGTTTTTCCTGACCCACCCTGGCAGATCAGGAGCTGGGATGGGTTTGCTGCCACTTCCCAAGTTAAACATCTCCCGTGGGATTAAGGTGGCAGAACCAGGGCTATTGCTGCCACAAAAGTGGTGTTTGAAGTGGAATTTCCACGAAGCTCTCCCTTTTCTCACAACCTTCTGCTGTATCTCCAGGAATGAAATTTGTGTCAGAGGTTCAGGTTGGATCTCAGGAAAGGGTTATTCCCCTGGAGGCTGTTTGGGCACTGAACAGGCTCCCCAGGGCAGTGGGCACAGCACCAAGGCTGCCAGAGCTCAATGAGCATTTGGACAACAGGGTGGGATTTTGGAGTGTCCTGTGCAGGGCCAGGAGTTGGACTGAATGACCTTGTGGGTCCAACTCAGGATATTCTGTGGTTCTCTGAGTTTAGAGCCACATCCTTTCAGTGTGGTGGCTGCTTGTGCACATCCTTTAGCATAGAAATACATGGGATATTCACCATTGTCCTGCTCATTTCGTGCTGCAGCATTTCCCTTCTCTTAGTGTTTGCTTATTTTTTTGTGCTGGGAGGGCTGTTAAGTTGGAGGAGGGAGGCAGGATATAGACATCAAGTTGTGCTGTCGTGTAAAAATTGAATTTTTACATTGTAGGCCAGTTCAGCTGATTGTGGTATAACAACAGTTTCTGGAATTTAAAATGGATGTAGCTGTGGTCCAGGGCTTCCTCATGCTGGGACTTTTCTCCCTGTTTCATCTCCAAGTCAATGCATGGAATGAATAAAAACAGCAGCAGCAATCTTGGTGAAATCCCACATTCCCTGGCACCTTCTGCAAACTGGGCAAACATTGCCTGGGACAGAACAGTTCTTAATTAATGCAGAGGTAAAGGGGAGGATGGTGATGTCAGATATTTCCTAGCAGGGTTCCTGGTGCCAGCTGCTCTTTCCAACCTGGATTTTATTTTTTTTTTTTTTTGTCTCCTGGGTGTTATTTCCTTGATAACACATTTGGGTTGCTCTTTTGCTTATAGACTTGTTTCAGTTTATTACACTACATATGATGGTTGTCATCCTTCTGTTGATAATGAAAGGATATGCCTTGTGAGCAGAGAAGTGGGATTTCCACAGAGCTCTCCCATTTCAGCTGTATCTCCAGAATGTGCTGGGAACATTCTCTCAAGCTCCCTGCCCACTGAAGCTTGTTCTTTCTGAGTTACAGCCATCAGGAACTATAAGAAATCTCAGTGTTTCATGTTAGGGATAATGAGTTTATCATCGAGTTTGTCTCCTTTCCATTTCATTTTTTGGTCCTAATTAAACACATTTCTCTTGTTTCTTCCCAAGAATGCCAGGACTGGTGGGCAGCAGGTTGCAGACAGAACACTTCTGCACTTCCTGCAAACTGCACAGTCTGTTCTGCTGTGAAAAGCCTTCAGATAGTGACAGACTTCAGAGAACTATCAGAAAAGCTCCGGAGGCACCAGCCTTTTCTAATCAAGGTAATGCATGGATTTGTGAGGCTGGGTGATGAGTCCAAACTCTTCAACAGCAGCAGCCCAAGACCCCTGCCCAGTATTTTCATCCACAAACTCAAAAGTGCTGCTTGAGGTAGAACATATGTCCAAGAAGACATTTCACCCCAATTTAAAGGTGTGGGGGGTGAGAGTTCACTCCTTTGACTGATGATCATTGTATTGGGAAACTTAGCAATCTTGGATGCTCTTTGGCAGGAGGGAAATGGGAGCAGGGAGGAACTCTGGGTGCACAACTTTGATCTTCGTTTTCTGTCCTTTAAGACAGGGCAGCATCTCTCTTATGAAGAACTGAAGCATTTCCAGTCCCAGGATCCAGAACTGGCAGAGGTTATAATAGAAGAAAATTCAGCCGAGTTGTGGAGCTGCCCATTTTTCTTTCCCTGGTGAGCCAAAGAAAAAACATGTGAGAGATGGACACAGACTCTGCCTGTGTGAACCACCAGTGCTTGCAAATTACACTTTAGCTGGAGGGAAGGAGAACAGGAGTGGGTTACAGGCTTCTCTCTGCTGCTGGCACTGATTTGTTCCAAGACTCCCGCACTAAAAATGGAGTGTTGTGGCTTGGACTTCAGGTATTGCTCCTCTTACAAGACAAAAATATCCCAGTGACTGCTCAGTCCTGTTCTTCAGGCTGTACATTAATTGTCTGGGCTGTGGTTTGATTACCTGAGGTAACTGGTTCACATTTCTGATCACCCCTGTCTGCTCAGTGGGAATCCCCCACCGCTGGTGCTGACTGAGGGGAGACTCCATGACTTCTGCAAACACTGAGAAGTAACAGAAGGCCGGGGCATCCTGAAAATTGTGTTTGGTCTCATGCAGAAAAAATGGCCAACCCTGATGCTGCCCCCTCTTAACCAAAAGCTTTTTGCCAAAGCCTTTAGTGTGGCCACCAGACGTGGAAAACTCCGAGCTCTCTAAGGCTGCAGAGCAAGCGCTGGTAGGGGGATGGTCAGGGTGCAGAAGTATTAATCATGTCAAAAATAACTAGCCCCACCCTGCCTTTTCCAGTTACATTTCCTTGTCTAGAGGATAAGGCTGGATCCCCCCTGGCCTCACCATGTGGTTTCAGTTATGGTTGTGTACAATGCCACCTCTCTGCATCTTTTGTAACTAATGGATCCGGTCGATGACTCGGATCATTTCAAGGCAAGAAGAGAGGAAAATGAGGTTTAGCCATCCAGCATGATCTGGCTGTTCCCTGTTCATGTGGTCCTGCTGCAGGAACAAAGAGGAAGATAGGAAGGAGCACAGGTTTAGAGGCTGAGAGGTGGAATTTTGCTCCCAGCTCCCGGGGCTCGTCTGTCATGCTTTTATCAGGCATGAATGTTTGTGAAGAATTTTGTCAGGAAAGCATCTTTTAAATACAGATGTTATCATTGTGTGATATTTCTTTAATATGGGTTGTTTTCTTCTGTTTAGGAACAAATCTGTGAATAAATCTCAGATTCTGCAGGAATTTTTCCGTGCATCCTCTTTGCTGTCCTTCCCCAAGACAGTGTCCCTGGAGAGCTGCTTCCTCATCCGCCATCCAGATTTGGGGAATAAGGTGAGAAATTTATCCCAGAGACATTATCTCCCTGTCTGTCAGTTGTCCTCCAGCAGCTCCAAGTCTTTTTGGGATTTGCAGGGCATTTTCAGCTGATACAATCCTGAAAAGAAGCATTTTAGGGTCGTATCAGTTCTGTCCATCCCTGTGTGAAGTGGCACCTCAAGGTGGCTGTTCCTCCCAGCAGTTGTGTCCAGTTGTGGGCAGGAGATACCCCGTGCCCATCTCAGCAGTTGGAGATGTCACAGAATCAGAGAATGAATCCCAGAATGGTTTGGATTGGAAGAGACATTAACAATCATCTCATTTCAACCCCCCCCTTGCCACGGGCAGGGACATCCATGTGGGATCCCAACTCCATTCACATTTATATCCTGGCCTTGCTCTGTAGCTGGGGGAGGGGATGATCTTTTTGTGAACAGTTTGGCCAAATTCATTTAAGAGCTGCATTTTAGGAGCTGTTCCTGGCAATAAGTCCCATCCTGGCAATAAGTATCCCATCCCAAGATATTTGCCCATGGAGACATTTCACTGAGGACAGTGACACTTCAGGCTTCTGGCCTGATCTCCTCCTCTGTTTTATGGTGGTTTTTGTGGTTATGCAGGGCCTACATTGCCTTGGAGAGGAGGGGAACCCCTGCCTGCAGCTACCTCAGCCATGATTCTGTGATTCTGTGATCTGCTGGTACCTGGGGGGAGCAGCAAACCTGTTGTTTGCAGTCTCACCTGCCTGCAGGGCAGTGACTTGCCCCTTGTTTGGTCAGACAGATCCAAGGAAAGCTGGCCAGGCTTTTGAAATCCTGTCCTCTCATCCTAGAGCTACAGCCTGCACAGCCTCTTTGCTGTTGGAAGTGGGCAGCTCACCCTGACTGTTGCACCTCTGGACACATGCAGAGGACACTGTGAGATGTTCAAGGTGGAGCTGGAAGCTGGGGATTTGGGTGAGTACTGGAGCTGTGGCGTGCAGGGACTGCTGGATCCCTTGGAGTCAGGAGGCTGCTTCCAGCTGGGTCTGTTCTGAGACCTGGGACAGTGGTTTGTGCCATTGCCACCTCCAAACTGGTGTTTGCCATTGCTACCCCCAGACTGGTGTGTGCCATTGCCACTCCCAAACTGGTGTGTGCCATTGCCACCTCCAAACTGGTGTGTGCCATTACCACCTCCAAACTGGTGTGTGCCATTGCCACCTCCAAACTGGTGTGTGCCATTGCCACCTCCAAACTGGTGTGTGCCATTGCCACCTCCAGACTGGTCAGTGCTGTTGCCACTCCCAAGCTGGTGTGTGCCTGCTTGTTGCAGTACAGAGGCTGATCCTTCTGGATGGGGAGTTTGTGGCCTGGAACACAAACAGTGGGATCCCATGAGGTGCTCAGTGTCAAAATGAGCTGTGTAGGCTACACAAGACACGATGGGTATCACAAACCCAGTGTTCCCTGAGGGAAGTGTCTCTGCAAAGAGCTCCAGCGTGCACACATCCCTTTGTGGGAAATGGGAGCAGTCATTTAAGGATGGACTCGTCTAATATGGCCTCTCCATTGCCTCTCCCAAAGGTTATGCCAGCACAGATTACTGGACAATGAGCTTCATGGCCAAAGGGACAGAGCCAGCGGTGGTTTGTGACGGAGCTGCCAGCTAAGGACAGAGGGGAGGGAAAATAGAGCTGTTCCCAGGACAAGAAGACTTTCAGCTTTGAAGCTGAGGCAACATTTTGAGAGCGAGCTGGGGCAACTGGGGCAGGCAGCTTTGCCACCCTGCATGTTTACAGTGTTTAAAAATGACTGTTTTCCTGACCCTCGAGGTAATTCTTTGCCTTTCCTCAAATGTGTTTTGGGAGAAGCTCAAGCTATTTATGACCTTCCCTGTCCCCTCAGGTAAGCCCTGAGTTTGCAGCAAAGGTTTTTTTTTCCAGGAACAGCAGAAGGATTTCTCAGGATGAGATTCACCTTGTGTCCTTTGTGGATTATGGCACTTCTGAAACTTCCTGAGGGGGTTTGGGAGTGGAGGGGGTGTGTGACATTTCTGTGTACATTCCTCCTGAGGAGGAAGCTTTGAGCCTGTCTTGTCAGGCCAGTTCTATAAAGGGAATGAATTGGTGATGTGTCCCAGCCTCACCCCACCTCTCCCTCACATCTATGGCTGTGTCTCCCCCAAAGCTGATCCCAGCTCTGTATTCCCGGGCTGGGGGGAGCCTCGAGCCTGAGGGTCTCTGCCCCTTGCCCACTGTATCATTCTTGTACCAAAAGAATCTCTTCAGGCCTCTCTGTTGTGATCACTCTTGTGGTTCTCTATCTGCAGGTTGTGAGTCAAATAGTAACTGTGCTTTTTTTCTCTTCCACCTCCTTTCCTGCAAAAAGCACCGACACACGTGTTAGTGGTGCTGGGAGTGCAGGAGTTCTGGATGGAGATGGGGCTGGGAGCAGAGCAGCTCTGTCCAGGTTTCACCTGAGACACCAAGGGCTGCACAGCCAGTTTCAGCTCCTTGTTTTTGGAGGCACTGCCTGCATTCCCAGCCCAGGGGACCTACGGGAGCACCTGGAAGCTCCCTCATCCCTCATCATTTTTATACCAACTCCTTCCAGACCTGGAGCTCTGTCTTCAGAGTGAAGGTTGGTTTTTCCTGGGTCCTTTCCAAGCTGCCTTTGCATGTTTCCTGCTGCTGGAGCACTGCTGTCTCCAGTGCCCTGAGAGAGGCTCGGGTTCAGGGTTTGCAGGCTGCGGATGCTGCCGTCCCTTCCAAGTCTGATCCTCTGGGTCTGATCCCGCTGCTGAAGATCATTTACAGATGTGTCAGGCTGAACTCATAGGCCAGGGCTGGGGTTCAGGACATGCTCTCACACTTGTTAATATGGAACTGGGAGGGGTTTTGGTTGCAAGTGAGTTAACTCTGTTCTCAGGAGCAGGAGCCTTTCTCTCTGTAAATATTTTAGGTACGTGTGAAATGACAGATTGGAAAAATGTCTGTCCAGCCTTTGTTTTTGAGAAAAATGGGAGCAAACATCGTACTAATCTTATTAGGGGCTGACAAAAGCCGCCAAGTGGGATGACCATGTCTGGCTCCTGTACAAGGATAAGGCAAAGGACAGTTCCTGCTCCAAAGAATTTAGTCTGAGGCCTTGACACTACAAACATTTCTATGCATAACCCTTGTTTTTCTCCTGTCAAAACACTGAGAACAACCCCAGCACCTGTGTCAGTCTGTGTTAATAACCCTCAGTGCTGGACCAACACACACACCAGATGTAGTAGAACCAAAGGGGGAGAGTCTGACTCTCTCGGGATAGAAAAGGACTGATCTAATTTGTAGCAAAATATTAAAGAGAATTGGATTAATAGGACTTCCATTAGTATCCTCATTGCTTGGGGTGTATTTTACACTCATGACACTACATGCAATCTTGTACATGCCAAGACACACACACACCCCCCACACCCCCCTCCCTCCTCTTAAAACCTGGGTCTTAGTTAATGGAAATTTGGGAGTTTGGTGATGGCAGAATCAGGGCCTCGTTAGTGACTGTTGCTATTTACACTTTGGCAGCTGCTCAAATCGAATTTAAAGGCTGACAAGGTTACTTCACCTCTCACTGGTTTTGTACCTGACCCGTTTTTGTAAAGCCCTTGCTCAGAGATGCTGCTGGAGCCTTTCTTGCTGAGATGGCGGCGGTTCGGTGACGCTGTCACTGCTAAGTGTCCTTGACTGTAACTTGTAAAAGAGCTGTGGAGACAATTCCCAAGTGTCTGTGAAATGCCTGGATTCTGAGAGTCGCACTTAAGCCATTGTGGCTGTCTGGCTCTTTCGGGAAGAGGCAGAGAAAATGGATCTATTTACGGTTGCTGTTTAGATTGGGGGAGGGAAGGAGGAGGAAAAGGGCAGGTTTGTGCCTGTTTAGCAGAAGTGTTCTCACGTATATCTTCTCCCCTCCTCAAAGAGTTGCAGCTGGTTGGACAGGAGCTGGTGAGTGTGGCCTGTGTGCAGAGCAGCTCTCCAAGTGCACTTTATGGGCTCTGCATAAGTTTCCAGCTCGGTGTCTGGGCGATACATTGCATATGTCCCAGCCTTGCTCCCTTCGGAGTTTACATCATTTGTTTTTAAGCTTTCCAGTATATTTTCTCTTCCTCTTCCAAAAGCTGTAAGGAATTAGCTGCTAAACTAAAACAGGAGGGCAGTTCTCCTGCTGATAAAGAGCCGATTTTGGCTGAAGCTGCCAAGCCCCAGTCTGCAGCACAGCTTCCAGAGCAGCTCCTGTCTCCAGCTGCCAGAGGAGTGGTGCTCACACCTTTGGCTCCACAGACGAGGAGCCAGGTGGGAAACCCGGAGGTGAGGCCAAAGTGGCAAAAACTAGGATGGCCAAAAGGAGGTTTTGATACCTTTAGCTGCAAGTGAGCCCTGGTCGTGTTTCTCATCCAGAGCTCCAGCTTTACAGAGCCCTTGGAAAGGCTGCAGGAGGCTGGGACTTCCCTAGAGAGCCTGCTGAGGCTGAACTGGGGGGATGGGGCTGTTTCTGCAGCCATTGAAGCATCTTGGTGACAGACACGACCAGATGAGTCACAGAGGGGGTGTCCCACCATGGTCTCCCTCCCCTCAGCTGCCCCTTGGCTCTCGCTGTGCTGGTTTGGACAATCCCCCACTCCCACCCTGCCCAGCTCAGAGGGGTTCCCAGTCAATGTGTGCATCCCAGTGTTTTAAAATCCCTCTGTGCTTCAGAGCTCGTGTTCTCTGAGCCGGGAGATGGATTCCTGCTCACCCAACAATCCCGGGGGCTGCAGAGCTGCTCTGAAAGCACACCAGAAATCGGTACTACCCACAGGCAGAGATGGGGAGGGGTCACCTCTCTCCCTTCCAGGCTGGAAAGACGAGCTGTGCCCCGTCAGCTGGGCAGGAGGATCGTGGTTTAAAGCTGCTTCCCAAAGCAGGGGTCACTGACCGTTGCTCTCAGTCCTGAACTCAGGGTAATTGAAAGGAGGAGAAAGGACTATTATGATTTACTTCAGTACCAGGAAATCAGCAGCCCCCACGGGAGCCAGGCTGACAGTTTCTATTGATTCTTTTTTTTTTTTTTGCTTTCTTTGTTTCTTTTCTGGTTTTTTCCTCCCCGCTGGCACTGCACACACGGATTCCCCCAGGGCTCCCAGCCTCAGGCTCCCTTTGCAACGCCCTGGAGAGCTTTCTAGAGGCAGATTTCCTGTGAGTCTCTGGACTTCTGCTTCTCCCTCTAGTCCTGTTTTTGCAACGTTCTGGTGGAGAAGCTGGTCAGACTGGGCTGGATCAAAGCACCTCCCTTCCCTTGTGGCCTCCTGGGCTCCAACAGCAGGAGCATCCCAAGCAAGAGGAGTTGGGAGCAGGACATCTCATGGTAGAGATGTGAGCTCTGTAAACACCAGTGTCTCAGAAAAGGGATCCTCCTGCCTCGAAACCCCCTGGTTCTCCTCGGTAATGCTGCTCCAGGAGGGAATTCTCCACATCCACCCAATTCCAGGCTTGGTGGTCCATGTTCAACCCCATGGTTTCTAAGAGAACCAAACACTTCCTGGGGTGAGGCCATTTCAGTGGGTGCACAAAGAGCTTTTGCTTCCTGCAGACAAGACTTTCTCCTCTTGGTAAATTTTATAGGTAGAGCTCGATATTCTCCTCTTCAGGAACCTCCTCCTTTTAAAGGGCACATTTAGTGTCCTGCTGAGTTAGACAAGGGAGATGCTGGACTTCCCCTTTGCTGTGGACATTCAAACAAATGGCAGGTGATTCATTTTTAGCATTATCTCTTTGTCTTGGGGAGGGGAGCCACGTTCTAAAGGCTCAGGGGTGCTGGGAAGTAAAGCTATATATGCATAAAGACTTTCAATGCTGAACACTAAATTCAGTGGTGGATTCAAAAAAAAAGAATGTAAATATGCACTTAATGCAGAATTTTATGGATGGTCATAATTTAATATATTGCAAACTTTGTAAATACTTGGGAAAAGCCTGTAAAGTGTGTAAATAAATGAGATTTGTATGTAAGAAGAATAAAAAAGTTTTTACTTTTTGCAATTAAATACAAGTGTTAATGCACCTTTTCCCTTTTCCTGATTTTTATTTTTGTGTTGCATGTCAGCCACTGAGAGGTTATTTAACCCTTTTTTAGGGCATTTTTTCCTAAGTGGAAGTGTAATTTTAAACCAGAAGTCAGAACATTTCCCAACATTGTTTGGGAAATGTCATAAGAAACACTTGGGGAAAAAGAAACTGTGCTGCTATTCAGTGGGACCTTGACAGGCTGCAGAGTTGGGAGGAGGGAAACCTAATGAGGTTCAACAAGAGCTGTCCTGTTATCCCTGGGGAGGGATAACCCCAGGTACCAGCACAGGTTGGGGGTGAGCTGGAGAGCAGCTCTGTGGAGAAGGAGCAGGGTCCTGGTGGGTGACAAGTTGATCATGAGCCAGCAGTGTGACCTGGGGGCCAGGAAGGACAAGGAGATCCTGGGGGGCAACGGGAAGAGTGTGGCCAGCAGGTCAAGGCAGGTGAATCCTGCCCTGGTGAGGCACATTTGGGGTGCTGTGTTCAGTTCTGGTCTTCACAGTTCGAGAAGGACAAGGAGCTACTGGAGAGAGCCCAGCAGAGGCCCAAATGACTGAGGAACTGGAGCATCTCTCTTGCGAGGAGACACTGCAGGAGCTGGGCCTGGTTAGTCTGGAGAAGACTGAGAGGGGATCTCATTAATGCCTGTAAATATCTCAAAGGCAGGTGCCAAGAGGATGGTTCCAGACTCTTTCAGTGGTGCCCAGGGACAGGACAAGGAGCAGTGACCATAAATTAAAACACAACAAGTTTCATATCAACATGAGGAAGAAGTTCTTTCCATGGAGGGTGGCAGAGCACTGGAACAGCTGCCCAGGAAGGGTGTTTCTGGTCTCTGGAGACAGGAGTTGTCCTGTGCATTTGTTGGCACCAGCTGCAGTGGTGCCTCTTCATCAAGGGCGATACATGACAGGGGTGTGTCCCACGTGGGTCCAAAACTCTAATAAATACATTTCCTCCCCAATCTTGAAAAGCTGTTGGGTGTTCCTTGCTGTAAATCTCACTGCCAGAGCCTTGGGCTGCCAAGAGCAGAAGCCGACTGCACAATGCTGAGCTCGGGTCTTCCTCCTGTTTTCCTGGTGCTCACAG